CGGATAGGTGGCGATCAGAGCCCTATGTCATCTGCAAACAATTGCCTGGATTGCCAGTTTACCAGATTCGGCCGGAAAAGGGTGTTGGCCCACTCAAAACCTGGCACCGCAACCACCTTTTGCCTTTGTCAGAAGCAGTCCGTCTACCATCACAATCCGATCCACAGTCTACCCCCTCAACTTCTCAGAGGAATAGACCTGTGACCAGGTCTCAACCCACACCACCTCCTGCAGATGAAGAGGACAGTGAGAGTGAGGAGGTAGGGATAGATTTGCTGTGGCCATCTGACATTCCCGAACCCACCATTCCTTCTTCCACTGGAGTGACTGACGTAGTTCCTCTTAGGCCAGAGGCTCCTGAATTTGTGCCTCAGGCCCAACCTGCAGAAGACTTGCAAGAACCTGAAGACTGGTGGTCCATTGTTGATGAGGGAGAAGACGTGGAGGAAGCTGAACTGGGAGAGACAGAGAGCGTTGAGCAAGAAGCGAGGGTTGATGAGTCAGTAGTGTCAGAACCAACATCGGAAGCAACGCCAGAACCATTGCTAGAGCCCAGGGAACAGAGAGAGCGTAGAGTTATTCAACCCCCAAAAAGACTGACATATGATGTGTTGGGTGAAAACTCTGAAGAAGTAGTACATGCTTCTCAAAGGACTCTCGTGACGCCTGGTTCTCCTACAGCAGTTTCAGTAGAGAACAGCCCCAACTCACCCCCTGGCACATCTGGTTGGGCCATTCCCATTAGTGTGGCCTATGGGCAGGACAACCCTCACTCTGCTACATGGTGGGAGGTTCCTCTGCCAGATTCTTATGCAAGTGTGAATAATTTAATTTCCTGTGTGTACTAACTTTGCTTTTTCTCCGCATGTATATAAAAAGCATGTAACAGGTTGCTTTTACTGCTGTCTTTGGAGGACCAAAGCTTCTCGAGTGGGGGGAGTGTGTAGCAGGCTCCTTGTACAAGAGGATTCAGAAGGAATCACATGATCAGCAGTCAGTCCTTTCTCTCTCTCTCCTATTTGTAAAACCTGGGCATTCTGCCAAATTCATGACTCATCCACTACACAGCAAAGAACGCTGGGAGGGGGAGGAAGCAGGAAGTGAAGGGGAGAACAGGGAGACACGAGGCTGGAGAAAAGACAGGGACATGTGGAGCCCGTCCAAGCAGAGGAGGAGGCACTACAGCACCCAGCGCGGATAGACGGGACCCTGCTGTGTGTTCAGAGTCTGGTGAGCTGTCCCCTGGAGAGAGAAGACACACCATTTACACTTTGCATATAGACTGGGACATCCGCACCCCACTGCTGGGATCTCACCCATCCGGGGCCCTGTGCAAGCCACAGATCCCTCTGCCTGCTTTGCCCCTCACCACCAGTGTAATTGAGACTGTCTGCCCCGGGGACTGACACATACTGGGAGATTGCATCCTGCGACTGCCCCTGGTCTTGGGGTGCTTTGTGTTGCGTTTAGACACTGAGGTTGGACCCTCTCAGCCCAGAAACCTAGTGAAATCTGATGTAACTCACACCAGCTGAAACTCCAAAGAAGCCTTCAGCTGCTATTTACTTCATTGTAAGGACTAAATGTGCACCAACTAGAGCTCCACCGTTACAAGGACTGAAGTGGGGGAATCTGGCTTAGTAGCCTTATTAGAGGTACCTCTTTATTGCATTCTGTTCTGACTCTGAGGTGATTTTTGGCTAACGCCCCTCAGAAGCAGAATCATACACCGGTGTGGGTAATACATTTCATTGATAGAGCATAAGTAAGTTTATTTGTTTGATATCAGTTGTATTCTGCTTAAAGTGCGACTCTGCCATTCGGAGACTCTTGGCTGTGAAGCCCTCTAGTGGCAGACCAAATTTACTGTATTGCATAAAAGAAGAAAAGTAAGTTTTGAAGTTGAAAGGGGAACCCCACCCCTCTACACTGCATTTCATTCTCCATAAAATTGTTCTTGTTTCATTTAACCCTGTGTCAGCAAATTTCTTGGCTGGGTATTTGCTATTTATTACCAGTTGTGCCAGAGGGATTGGGTTTGCTTAGGGTTGGATCTATTGAGCGCAGGACCCATAATATATTCCAGCTTGTCCCAAGGGGCAGTGCTACATATTTTTTTTATTATATTTATGAATGGATTGTTAACAAATCCATTCATAGTTCTGATCTGTGAAGTGAGTACTGTGGTCAATCACCATTGTCCTCACTTCAGCTACATTCATACCTGTATGAATGGTTTTGTTTACCTTCAAACCCATTTATATAAGCAATGGGTCTGAAGGTATTCAAATCCATTTATACAAGTGATCCCCAGGTGCTTTGACAGATTGGGACTTTGCAGGGTTTGCTTACCCACCTCCTACAGCAATTTCTGCTGTCAGTGTGGGGAGGAGGCATCCAGGGTGGGTACTATGAGAAGAAAGATGCAGCCAGGGGACAGGTAAAGAAAGCCAGCAGAGTCCTGATCTGACAGCGCTGCTGTATTCAGAAGCCGGCAGTAGTGTGTGTACAGGACTATAGGAGCTCTGCAATGTTAGGAAGGAGGAGCTGGAGAGAGAGAGAACTCTGCCCTCACCTCCTCCCAGCATTCTCCTCCTCTACTGGCCTCTTCTAGCACTCTATTGTGCAGGCTGTGGTCCCTCACCCTCTCCTCCCTCCTGCCAGTGCAGTGCCTCTATTTCTGTGAACATTGCTGTTGGCTTCTGAATACAGGAGTGCTGCACTGGCAGGAGGGAAGAGGAGGAGACAGATCACAGTACACAACTCTTCCTGGCTCTCTACCAGGGGCGGACTGACAACTCATGGGGCCCCCTACTGACCCCGGACCTTCAGGCAGAGACCTAGTTTCCAAATGGTCAGTCCGCCCCTGCTCTCTACTACTCTCTCCACCGCTTCCAGCTCTGGGCTGACAAGAGTGTTTATGCCGCTGTCACTACTCCTGTCAGCCTTGTAAACAAAATGAGTTCACCAAAGGGCGCCTCCATCCCTATAGTACACTGCTGTGCCCAGAGCAGCTGCCTCTTCTGTCCACCCCTTGTCCTGGCCCTGCCCAAAGCAAATAAAAACCCTCTTGAAAAAAAGCCCAATTTTCACAAACCTGAATAGATTTTGGATTTCTCATCACTTTCTGGACCAGCCTTTCTCAACCGGGGTGCCGTGGCACCCCAGGGTGTTGCCAGAGGTGCCGTGGTGTCCTGGTAAAGAAAGGCTGTCAGTTGAGCCTAAGCTCCTGGTCCCCAGCCGCACTGTACATCAGCTCTGGGAGCCATCAGACTGTTGAGCAAAATGAAAGCAAAGGAAGAGGGAATGTCTTCTGTGCTCTGCCTTCCCCTAGAGTTCAGTACCCGGCTGTGCGAGGGAAGGTAATGTACTGTAACTTTTTATAGGGCTGTATACATATGTTTGTTTGTGTGTACATATGTGTGCGTGTGTACATGTGTCTGTATGTGTGTATGTACATGTGTTTGTGTGTGTACATGTGTCTGTATGTGTGTATGTACATGTGTTTTGTGTGTGTACATGTGTGTGTTTTACTATGTGTTTTTTGTGTGTGTGTGTGTATGTTACTTTTAAACTTGACCCCCTATTTCTGTCCTTTCAAAACTGCTTTTTTAGGACTTGTTCATAATAGCAGCAAAGACTGCTGCTCCTCTGAAAAGCAATCCATGCTCAGATTGCTTTTCAGAGGCATTTTACAGGTGTTAAAGAGACAATAGGTTGCCTCCTCACCACCTGTTTTAACCCTGGAAAAAGCAACATCACTGCACCACAACTGCGTGCAATGTGCACACAGTTGTGGGGTGGTTGTAGTCCAACCCCATTCACCTAGAGCAGGGGTAGGCAACCTTCAGCTCTCCAGCTGTTGCAGGACTACAAGTTCCATCATGCTACTGCAAGTCATAGCTGTAACTGTCAATTTTGCAATGGAAAATGTAGTTCCACAACAGCTAGAGAGCCACAGGTTGCCTACCCCTGACCTAGAGGTATACTTCCAGTTGCGGCAACAGCATGTGTACACCCCCAGCTGCTGCTTCTGAAGATAAAGGGGGAGCAGTTGGGGGTGTTAAAAGCAGCTCAATTGTGTGGTTTTACGGCCCTCCAACCTCACAGGGGAACAAGCCCTAGGTTCACATCTGTGTGGCTGTGTGTAGGGCAGCCCATTCATTTCAATAGGCTGCCTTACCCGCAGAAATGCAGGGAAAGTCGTCCCTGACCCTTTTTTTTAAATTGCACCACACCAAAAACACCCTGCATTTCCAGACAATTATATATAATATAAAATGGGCACAGTTCATATACTAAATGCAATTTCTCCTGCGCTCCGGGACCCAGGCCGGTGGTGAGTAGATCAAATCCCAACAAAACAACCACCGGGGCATACAAGGTCGTGCAAACCAAGGCTGGGGAAGCCCGAACAGAACTGTGAAGTAAAACAAGAAGAAGCGCACCAACCTTGCGCATTACCTCAGTAACCAAATTTATTTAGTAAAAGAATGGTACTCACAAACGGCGAATAAAAACAGGCATGTAAGTCCTCCCAGGGACTTCAAAGGCAAGAGGCCAGCGCGCGAATCCCATCATGGGGGTGGACACTCAGTACAGCTGACGCGTTTCAAAGGTCATACAAGGTATCTGACTGCACAGTTCATATACAGCATAAAGATCTGCTTGATGAAAATACTAGGCATAGGCACAAAAAAAAAAAACTATAGCGTTCATTAAACATGAAACCTCTGTTTAATCATCAAAGGTGAAGTTTGGGCCGCATAAAAAAAAACCTCCAAACATACATACTCTCCTCCGTGCTGCAGCATTGATGTGATGCTGCAGCTGTTTCCTGCCTCCTCTAAGTCCCGGTCACACCGATATGACTTTGAAATCGTGTGAATTCCAGTGAAGTTGCATGATTTCAAAGTCGGGTGTCATTCTGATTTCAGGTGCGACTTGCAAGACATCTGCAGCTTGCAAGACACAGATGTCTATGCAAGTTGCACCTGAAGTAGTGCATGCACTGCCAGGGGCAGACTGACCATTTGGAAACTTGGGCACTGCCCAAGGGCCCGGGGTCAGTAGGGGGCCCCATGAGATGCCCTTGGTACCTTTTTCATAGGCTTTTTTGAGTTTGGGCAAGGACACGGGGGCCCCAAGATCCCCTATTGCCCTGGGGCTCCATGAGTTGTCAGTCCGCCTCTGTGCACTACTTTCAAAATAGGTGCAACTCCAACCAAGTTGGAATGCACTGACATGACTGCTTTAATTGCAGACAATAGGGTGCATAGCAAATTGCATGGCAAGTCACACCCAGTATGAGACCGAGAACTGAGCAATCACATGACTGCTGATCGATCAGTACTCAGCTCTGGGCACAGAGCTGTGACTGTCAGTTACTGCTCTCTGCTTTGACTCTCCAACACTCTCTGGAGTGTGGGGATGGTGAGTGGGCTGAGCACTGAGAGCTGGAATCAACTGTCAATTAGGCAACTGGGTGGATCCCCACAATATGGATCCTGCCAATGCCTGGAATGGCTATGTGACATCAGCTGACAGTGAGCTTTATCCTGCTATTAGCTGACTCTGGGTCACAGGATAGAGAGGGGAAGGGATATAATACACAAAGTGCCAAACATCCCTAATGAATACAAGGGGGGGAAAGTCCTCTTTTTTGGTGGGACTTTAACGGCACAATTGACTTGTATGATAAATTTCGACAATTCAAAAGAGATTCTTTATAAAAACAGTATGAAATTTTATTTTTACAATCTTCAAAAAATAAATATATAGCTACAATACATATTGCAGCGGTGTCATCAGAGATGGTATTGAAATCTAATCATGGATTATGCATGGTTCGCACTTGACGCGTATCGAGATCAACAAAAATCTCTTCTTCAAAAGTGCTCAAGAAAGCATTACGTATGATTCCATGTGAAGTAAAACCCACCAGCAAATATTAAGAACAAATTGTTATGTGAACACAGCCACAGATTTATCATATATCTCAGGCAAAAATGATGAAACAAAAATTAATAAAGAACAAACTGAGACCAGTGAATGAAAAATGCCGCCCAAATGCCTCCTGAAGGGGCTCAGCCCAAATGCACAGTCAACAAGATTACCTACCGGTTGGTACTGATAGGGCAGCAGGGGCGGACTGACCATTTGGAAACTGTCCGAGGGCACGGAGTCAGTAGGGGGCCCCATGAGATGCTCCTGGTACCTTTTTCATAGGCTTTTTTGAATTTGGGCAAAGGAGTTGTCAGTCCGCCCCTGTAGGGCAGTGTGAGTGTGAAACGATGACCATAAGGAATTTGCGTGAGAAAGTGTTGATGACCAGGTCTATCCAAAGAAGCATGCTTGATGCCTGTGAGCAAAGAAATGAGCTCATCAGTCGGGATTAAATACAGCTAGGGTGGCTTGAAAAAGCTCCAATCAGCTGCATCAAAAATTGTTCCAATCAAACGGACCACACCAGGTCTATCCAAAAAAGCATGCTTGATGGCTGTGAGCTAAGTAAGTGCATTTCTGTGACACAGAGGAGAAGTATGACCAAAAAAGCTTTGGCCATACTTCTCTTTTAAACTGGGAAAAAGAAATAATTTAATATCTAAAAGTTTGGCCTTAGCAATTATATTTATCATGAAAGGAGAGGTGGCATACCGAATGTGGGTCTCAATAACACCAAGAAATTTGGACTAGTTTTAGCCATAAAATAAATAAATATAGCTATATTTCCAATAAATATAAAAAAAAAACATTTATTTGTTAATAGCATCCCTCAAAAACCTTTCTTTCCATTTCTTTTTCTTATATGTACACAGTATAAGTATCAGGTTTCAACCAATGACTGGATTTTGATACAGGAAAGTAGGCTGTACAGATATTTTGTAGTTTCCGGAGATGCATAGTAATAGATAATAGGGTCAAGACAGCAACTGATGCTACCGACACTGGCACATAAGATGTAGGCAGTGTACAAGGAATCATTGACTGATCTAAAGAACTGCAAATAATAAATTAAAAATATGACATTGGTTGGGCCAAAACAAATGACAAATTCACACAGAACAGTCAAACTAAGGAAAAGAGATCGGGACCTTTTAAACGGGCTTTCAATTTTTGGGGAGCCCAGACTTTGGATGACTCTAATGTAACAGAAGGTTGTAATGATTAAAGGCACGAAAAAAAAAAGAGTGATGTAAGGGGTGAAATAGTAAATAAAAAAATTTTGTACATTTGCTATTTCCAGCACATCATAACAGGTCAAAATACCGAGGAGGAGTCAATGTATTGTGTTAGTTCACTTGTCAGAAGTGGTACAGTGCCAGCTATGGACACGATCCAGATGAAGATGCAGACCAGCCAGGCTCTTTTTTTTGTGCGCCATGAAAGCGACTCCAGTGGATAGACAATTGCTAGGAATCTGTCCACACTGATACTTGTCATGAGCAAGATAGAGCAGTACATGTTGCCATATAAGGCTGCGATGAAAAAACGGCACATTTCTTCTCCTAGAGTCCAGTTATTTCCAGAGAACCGATAAATAATACTGAACGGCAGCATGCTGACAAAGAGCACATCAGCGATGGCCAAGTTCAGCAAATAGACCAACGTTGGTGTTTTGACTTTGATTTTGAAAAGGAAGATGATGATTGCCAACACATTCAGAGGGAGGGAGATAATTACTACAGCTGTAAAAACTGAAGGTATTATTATAGTCATCGACCAACTGCCGAGAAAATCTTCAGCTTCATAAGACACCTTCCCAGATGATAACACATAACTATCATTTGATATGCTTTCATCTGTCATACCTAAAAATAAAAGTGAAATTATGAGAGGCACGAATACAATAAATGCACAACTGTAGGCTGCAAGAAAATACTTTTTGAATCGAGCAAGTACAGTAATAATTGCATAAGATCTGTCAAATTTTTTTTATCTGATGTATTTTAGAGAACACAGGAGTTTGAGTGATAAGGTAAATGATGGCAAACACACATTTACAAATGTAATGCACTGCAAACTATTCTGTTTATATACAGTTCATGCCAGCGGTGGACTGACAACTCATGGGGCCCCCGGGCAATAGGGGATCATGGGGCCCCTGTGTCCTTGCCCACACTCAAAGCACACCCAAAAATGCCTATAAACGGTAGTGCCCGAGTGCTCGAATGGTCAGTCTGCCCCTGGTTCATGCTAACAAGTCAGAATTACTTTCCCTCAACTGACTGCAGAAATGTGAAATTCAGTTACTATGAGCTTTTGTGCTTTGCATATTGTCATTGCAGCTTGCACTAAATCAGTGGTCTCCAAACTGCTGCCCAGGGGCCAGATGCGGCCGTTTGCTTGCTTTTATCCGACCCTTGGGGCACTGTTTCATCCACTGATACCAACAATAGTGGTATAATTACCCCCACTGAAACTAAAGATGGGTCATGATTTCTCCCAATGGCACCAACAATGGGGCCCAATTACACCAACGATGGAGCACAATTCTTCCCAATGACACCATTGATGGGGCACAACCCACATGGAAGAAAAATATATCTGAAATATATTTTAAAAATATTCTTCCCAAATATATTTACATATACAGCATTTGAAATACTAAATTTCAATAAATATATTTATAAGTATATATATATATATATATATATATATATATATATATATATACTGTATGTTGAAATGCGTTTTTATTACAAAATATATGAAAAATATTTTTAAAAATACATTTTCAAATATACCGTATGTCTTTAAAATTACAAATCTGCATTTTTTCTAAATGCATATATGTCAAAATTACTTTTTTATATGTTAAAAAAAATTTGAAGAATATATTTTAAAAAATATATTTTTAAAAATACATTTTTTTAAATATACTCTTAAGATTTTTTTAACATATGAAAAAGTCATTTTAACATATATTTTACATATACTTGTAAATACATTTAAAAAATGTAGATTTGTATTTTTAAAGACATACAGTATATTTTAAAATTTATTTTTAAAAATATTTTTCATATATTTTGTAATAAAAACGCATTTCAACATTGTGTGTGTGTGTGTGTGTGTGTGTGTGTGTGTGTGTGTGTTTTTATTTAAATATATTGAATATGGCCAAAATTGTAGTATTTAAAATATATTTTTCTATCATATGGGAATTCCTCCCTCTGACAGCAAAAATGGGGTATTGTTTTTTCCCACTGATGTAAGAATCTTTTCTACTGCCAATGGCCACAGTCCAGCCCCCCTAAAGTCTCAAGGAAAATAATTTGGTCCTTTGTTTAGAAAGTTTTGAGACCCCTGCATTAAGTCAGCAATACTTACCTCTCCTTCAGTGGTCCGAGGTCCCTCGCTGACATCAGCTTCTTCTACTGGCTTCTTCCAGGTTTCAGGCTAAAACCACCCATTGGCCATCATGGGATGATGTCACTACTGCACATGCACAGGAGTTCATTGATTCCGGGATACAGGATCTGTGCTGGAATGTAAAATGAACTGCAAGCAGGCAGGTAGGTTTATTTTATTGCAGAACAGACCATACTGTGTTCATTCATAATGGAAGACATAGTAAGCATCTGTGGGCTGTTGGGTTTGTTCCGGTTGCACTAGCTCTAAGCCCACAGGGTTCTTGGGCTATGCCAGGTAGTGTGGGCAGGATCACTCTGCACATGTGGTAACTTTCTGTGCACGTGCTCATCAATACCCCGGGACAAGGCAGTGGCCACGTTCAGATGAAATCAACCTTAAGGCAGGCTCCCAGCTTAGAGATGACGTGTGCACAGAGTGCAATAAATGTGTGTGCTGAGTCCCAGTAAAACCTGTTGTCCCATTACGCTGCACACCTTGACTGTGAACTGTTGCATTTAGGAGGGACAACGCTGAACCCATGCTCTCTCCACCTGTCCAACGTACCAGAGACAGAATGGGGTCCCACTGAGCACCTGCATGGAGCTCATACATGTTCTTAATTAACACGCATTAAGGTGAAAAACCTTAAGGCTATAGAACCACTTTAAGCTGCATGTGTGGGAGGCCTTAATGTTATAAAAATGGCTTTCCATGTCAGTCTCAAGATACTATGAATTGCCAAAAGTTAGGAAAACACAGGGAATTCTCCTTTCAATCCTGTGCTAATTCAACATATATTTCACTTTTTTTATAAGTTGATCCCCTTCTTGTAAAACTGACCACATTGCAATGATTTATAACATACAAAATATTTACTTACCTGAACTTTCAATTATGGTTTTTATTGATGGCACTAAAAATTAAAATAAGAATGTGTTAAAATGCTTTCTCTTTCTAAATTTCAGAAATATTAACATTACATACGATTCCCATGTGATTGCCCACTATTGTATGTATATGTACTATGTTTTAAATTTACTCCAGTTTTTTTATTTTACATTTTAATTCCTTTTTTTGAATCTTCATCTCTGTTTTCCTGTTTCTAGAATCAACTTTATGGCACTAGTACTAAAAATGTTCTTAAAGCCAAACTTTGCACACAGATTTAATAAACATTTGTGAACAATACGGCTGGTTCACTAAAGGAGTAAGAGACTGTGTAGACGTTTCACTGAGATTAGTGAATATGATGAAGTTGCCTTTATTGAACAACTAGTCATGTGGAAATGTGTAATCTTTAAAGCAAACCTGTGCTTTGCCCATGCAGGCCAAGTATGGTTTGCTTTAATGTCCCCCACCCCACAGAATATTCTCAGATTTCTTTTACTCCCCTGCAGCTGTAAGAAGAGATACTTCCAAATGATGTTACTTCAATGTCACAGCTGTGGTGCTTTGTGATTATCTTAGCAGTGTTACTTGGTGGTGAAGAGACAATCGGCCCTGTCTAAGGTCCATACAGAAAGTACACAGGATTGTCTTTCCTTATTCTCAGGAGCTTGTAGGGTAGGTGGGTGACGCTCTCTCCATGCTCCCCTCCTCACTGAGCCCATGTCCACATCCAACTGTCCAGTGTCCTCCACTATCTCTCTCTCAGTAGCAGAACGGAACCCCACCATGCACCTAGAGCAGGCTCTACATATGCACTTGACTTTACTCTTGACGTCCCATACCTCTGCACAGAATAGGGACCTCTGCAGTGTGAATCTGCTCACATTGCTATGGGAGACGAACGAGTGCTGGCAACTTCTCCATCGCTGCTAGAGGCTATCCCACCTGACACAGGTATATGCTTAACAAAAGGCTGCTTGACTGATTGTTGACCTTCATTACTCTCAGGGCCGGTACTTC